GGGAAAAATATAGGATAAATGGGAGACTAAATTAATATCACGGTGATAGAGGTTAGGTTGGAGACCCTGATCCTGGAGAGAGGGCAGGCAAGGGCCAAATGGGCCCACAAACTGAACTCCGGCCTCAACTCCCTAGTGGGAGGCAGTGCTGGGCCTCAAGGAGTAAAGCACAACACGTGCTCTCATCAGGCAGGCTCTCTTTCAAGAGGAAGGCTGGAGCTGGCCAGTTATTTTCCCCACGTGTACCAATCAAGTAAGTCACTGCCCTTACCTGTGTGTGGCAAAAGAAGAAAAACGATGAAAAGGAGCCCCACTCCTGTTCCTGAGCCCATCACTGGCATATTAAATAGATCATGGCACGTTTTCCTATGGACACGTCTTCCCATAGTTTCAGGCAGCTAGTGCCAACCACTGGGAGCTGGCACGTAAGTTGAAACCTATTGGCCAGCCTGCAACAGCCAATCAGAATGATTCCCAGAGGCCCTGCTGTGGGAGGTGGGAAAACTCACCCGTTTTTCGGGCCCTGAGGGCAGTGGTTGCTGTTATTTACACTGTGCCCATGACTGCCAGGTCTCTCCTGAACTCAGCCTCTTCTCCAGGCCATAGTTGAAGCACGAGCCTTATAGGTTGTGGCCTCTGGACAGATACTCACCTGACCAATATCTCCTGTTTGTGGCAGGTGGCCTTCCACATCCAACCTTACAAGGGCCGAGATGACATCACTCTGCATGACAACATCAAGTATATCATTGACACGTAAGGCTGCTCTGGGACCTGGATTTTGGTGGGGATCAAAATGGGGGTAGGGCTAGAAGGCTTGTAGGCGCAGGTCAAGAGACAAAAGGGCAGAATGCCCGTGTCCCCAGCATCTAGAAAGAGTAAAAGAGTACTGGGCTTGGAGACAGCAACCTCGGTTTGAATTCTGGTTCTGCAGCCTCCATTCTGTGATCAGAGGCAGTCCTCTTAACCTTTGAGTCTTGTGAGAGTTACATGAGCTAATATATGTGGAAAGTGGCTTGCAAATGGCTTGCATATATCATTCATTCAAAAAATATTTATTGAGTGCCTTCAGGTGTCGAGGCACTGTCCTAAGTCCCAGTTGTACAGCAGTGGGTAGGGCTAGCAAAGTTTACATCCTCGGGTGGGTGTGCAGTGAGCACATAGTGGTTATAGATGACAAATCAAATGGCGATCCATACTACGAAGAAGTAATAACAGAATAAAGCAGGGTGTTGAGTGTGCCCAAGAAACAAACTTTAGAATGGGTGGTCCAGTGAGCTTCTCTGAGGTGACACGTAAGCCAGCACCTAAAGGAAGAGTCAGCTCTGCAGAGATCTGGGGCAGGCAGGAAACACGAGGCAGAGGGCTGTCAGATCCAAAGGCCGTCTGATGGGACAAGCTTGACAGCAGCCAGTGTAGCCGGAGTGAAGGGATAGATGGGGTAATGGCAGGAATGGTGGTGGGCAAGGCCAGATCAAGTAGGTGGGGCCTTGCTGGTCTCCGTAAGGAGCAGTCAGATCTGATTTTAAAAAGACTGGGTTATAGGCAGGTGGAAGTGGGAGCCTGGAGACCAGTTAGGTGGCTGTCCGTACAGTCCGGATAGAAGATGGTGGTGGCTCGGCCTGGGGCAGGGAAGTGAGGCTTAAATAGAGGAATAACAAGGCTCGGGGGAGGGTGGGAGGGAACTGGGTTCTTGCTTAGAGGCATGATGAGTCCAACTGTGGAGTCCAGCTGGATTCAAAATCGTGCTTGGACATCAGGAGAGATCTCATTCATGGCCAGCCCTCCGGCTGTGCCGGCTTCTTTTCTCTTAGGCTGCTGGCTCAGCCTTTTCTTCCTCCTGCTCCTCAGGTATGGCTCCCATGGTGCATTTTACCGCTATAAGAACAGCATGGGTAAGAGCCTCCCACTCTTTTATATCTATGACTCCTACCTGACATCCCCTGAGGCCTGGGCCCACCTCCTGACACCGAACGGGCCCCACTCAATCCGCAACACCCCCTACGATGGGGTCTTCATAGCCCTGCTGGTGGAGGAGGGCCACACCCATGACATCCTCGCCGCTGGATTTGATGGCATGTACACCTACTTTGCCTCCAATGGTTTCTCCTTCGGCTCCTCCCATCAGAACTGGAAAGCTGTGAAGAACTTTTGTGATGCCAACAACCTCATGTTCATTCCCAGCGTGGGGCCCGGCTACATTGACACCAGCATCCGGCCCTGGAACAACCACAGTACGCGGAACAGGGTCAACGGCAAGTACTATGAGACGGCCCTGCAGGCAGCCCTGACCGTGAGGCCCGAGATTGTCTCCATCACCTCCTTCAACGAGTGGCACGAGGGCACCCAGATTGAGAAGGCCATTCCCAAGAAGACGCCGACCCGGCTGTATTTGGACTACCTGCCTCATCAGCCCAGCCTGTACCTAGAGCTGACGCGCCGCTGGGCGGAGCACTTCATCAAAGAGAAGGAGCAGTGGCTGATGTGAGGGGCCTGCAGGCAGGGGCGGGAGGTGCTGACGTCCCAGCCTCACTGGAAGATGTCACCACGTGGGGCTTGGCTGAGGTTGTGGGCACTCGCTCCCAGGTCAGCGGCTGAGTGCTTCTGAGGCAGGTGGGTGCCAGAGTGCCTGCAGGGACAGGAAGCTAGGCGGTGTTCCAGAGAGGGAACCCCAGGGGCTGGCCGGTGGCTGGGCTTAGCCCAAGGCAGCTCCACATCCTCAGTCAGAACACTTTAAGACAATCCCTTCTAGCTTGGAACTCAGCTGGTTGGTGTTCTGGAGTCGCCAAGTCACTGGTCTTAGAAGCGTGTCAGGGCTCTGGGCTAGCATGCACCCTGCTCTCTGCCAACCTGCGTCCTCTCCAGGCCTCCTTCCCACATCATCTGTCTTCCCCAACTTAGGGAACCACATTTAAGACTTTCTAAAAGGGAAAATTCTCAGTTTAAGCTCTTCCCAGTAGATTCCCAAACCCAATTATCAGGAAATAATCCTGAGCATTCACACATTCATTCAACACATACTCAGCGAGCACCTTACCGCGTGCCAGGTGCTGGGGGAAAACTTGACCAGGAATGGCTCCTATCTTCCGAAGCTTACAGGAGCCAGCTTTCCTAATTTGGTGTGGCCTTGTAGCTAGTGCCTAAGCACAGCTGTAAGTTTTTCCTTTTTGCTGTTTTGCCCAGTGCTGGGAGTTCAGTTCTTTTTCCTCGAAGAAAATACCTCTGCGCTCCAGAGCCTCCGTTTTCCTAGGTGAACATTTAGCTCCAGGGGGAGGACTAGGACACCCCCCCTCCCTTTAGCTGCCTGAACTGAATGAGGCCCACTCACTAGAGTCATTTTCAGTGCGACTGTGATTTGTATTAAAAATGACGTGTTGTTCCTGTTCTCAAATCAACTTTCCTTTTGATCCCTTCAGGACCACAAACTCTTTTAACTCCTCAGATTCTGTGACAAATTGACATATGAGATGGGCTGGCTACAGTGTTAGCACAACGAAGAGTCGAGTTTGCTTAAGAAATTAGTTTCAACAAGATTTCTAGAGGGAATATTTAACAAACCAGTGCTTATTTACAAATAAACGAATATGCTAATAGCAGGGACCCTCAAAGCAGGCCCTGGGACACCCTCTTGGCAAAATTCTTAGGATCTACTTGAAAATATGTGCATTGGAAACGACCGTATTGAGAAGTTTATGGGCTCAGACTGAATCCTAGTTCTGAGAACTGGGGTGTGAGGGGAGAGGGGAGGAAGTGAGCCCTACTGGTCACAAGGACTCCCAGCTCCAGTTAGGTTAACAGGTACTAAATCCCACCAACGGATGGGGCAGGCCTGGTCCCCTTGCTGTGACTCAGTTGGGGAAACCAAGGCAGGCAGGGACAGGTGAAAAGGGCTAGATGGTGACCTGGAATAATTTACAAGGGAGTGACACTGAGGCTTCAGGTCACATATGCATATTTTTAAAAATACTAAAAGTATGGCCAGACCTGGGGGGCAGGGGCAGTAATTCTCACACACTGCTGATGGCAATGCAACTTGATTCAGTTCTTTTGAAGGCTAACCTCTATCAAGAGCCAAAAAAATGGCCATACACTTGGACCCAGTAATCCTACCCCAAGGAAATAATTCAAAAGAAGGAAAATAAAACATTTACAAAGATGTTTAACAGCATTTTTTTCTATTAAAGAAAAAACAAAGTTCAAATGCCCAACAGTAAGTATGTTTTTAACACTTGTATACATATGAATCAAGATAAAGGCTGCTGAGTAGACACTGGATTTAAATAAAGGTGTTGTAGGTATAACTCATTATAATTTATATTATGAATAAATAAGAAAAAAGTGACTGGACAGGACAGTAGAGATTTATTTTCCAATATTCCTTAATTTGGACCCCAGCCCCATCCCCGTGCCAGCTGAGCTTATTTCCCACCATTAGACCAAAATGGTGACTCTCCGCCAGGCAATTACAGCAAAGAACCAGCGCCCCCTGGTTCAGCGGAAGCAGTGTTTGGTCGATGGCTCTACAGTTTTTATTTTTATCCTAAACTGGTTCCAGCTTCAGAAGCACAAAACTCATGCATTTGGTCACTTGGGACTTTTGAAAAGCACCAACCAATGTGTTAGTTGATTTGGACCTTAAGTGCCACTACCCACCAGAGAAGCTCTCACTAGACTCCAAATCTGTTATTTATTTTTCAAAGATCAAAAAAAGAAAAAACTTATCAGAACAAGGCCATCCTTGGAATACTCTTAAAACCTCTATTCAGCTTTTGGCTCATATATGAAATTATAAATAAACATAACCTCCCCAACCAGGTGTGAGGCTTAACCAGCAGCTTCTGAGGCCTGGTCTGTAGTGTTCAGAAAGAAACTTTACCTTAAAAGGTCAGACTAGTAACACTGTAGCCCCAGCGGCCTCTGCCAATGAGGCCTTGCCAGCCACCAGCAGTCGGACACATAGTGTCCAGCACCAGTCCTTGGGCCCTCCCTCCTCTGGAGTTTCACAAGCAGGATCCACGTAAGGGGAGCAGCCCATACTTCTGGAGGATGGCCGAAGTACTTTCTAGGGCACTGGGGAGGAAATGGAGGACAGTTAGGGTTTGACTTCTCAAAGCCCCGAGCCCACCAGATTCTGGAGATCAGGGACCTCTAAACTCTTTGATCATACTATGCTCTGTTCATCAAACCCTTGATGAATCCTTTTGAATCCTGAAAAAGCCAGCAAATACTAGCAAACTTAGTTCCACTCCACCCACCACATCTCCAAACCTGCCCGCTCCCCTCAGGGCAAGATAGGAGTGACAACCTTTTTTTTTTTTTGCATCTCCCAACCTCCCTCAAATCCTATCCCTGTGCCACAGCAAAGAGACTCACCAACCCGGACGAATGATGCCAAACTCTCCAGGCACAGACAAGTCAACCACAGTTGAGCCTAGTCGACACTCAGGGCTCTGGTCGTCCCCAATTGGTCCCCCATCAATGACCAAGGACAAGCGAGGCCAGAGGTCCTGAAATTCCTGAGAAGAGGGAGAGGAAGAGCATGGACACCACCTCTGGCATCTGCAATGATGTCATACCGCACACAGGGCACCTAAGACAGAGATCACACAGCTCTAAAACAGCAGGCATCTTCCTCTAAGCAGGGTAAGGAACCTCATTTAAACTCTGGATCAGGGCAGGAGAAATGGGGGGGACTCTGCAACTGCACGCCATTGGCACTCAATCCTTGGGCTATGGAAAGGAGTTCCCCTTCAGAACTGTGGACTGAATTGTTAACTGAGCCAGAGCACCACTCTCCACCCTCACCCCGCATGAAGGCACTGCAGTGGCAGTTAGGCCTGGGAACTTGGGATGGGGGATCATAAATACCAGTTACTGTGCTGGATAGGTAAGCTGCTTGCCGAAAAGGTAAGAATCCCCATCACCAATGCCTAGGATATAGCCACCAGGATCAAGTAAAGCCTGAGAATAAGAAGGGGTGCTGGGCTCACACTTTCCAAAGCCCCTGAACCCACTCTCTACGTCTGGGCATGGAATCACTTTACTATGAAAGTAAAATCACTTTGCTATGTTCTGCATTTAAGACCAGTAAGAAGAGAAGAAGTATGCTCAGTCAAATTTCTTTGTGTCCTCATTCATTCTAAGCTACTCAGCCAAGACAGGATTAGGACGATCCTTTCTGTCTTTTTTTTTTTTTTTTTAGTGGTCTTTTTTTTTTCTTTAATAGTATTCAGTGCTGCTTGTGTTTCCATTCCTATAGCAAGCTTCCCTAACATCTGTTTTCCATTTTTCTTTAATTTCCACTCATGACCTTTGGCCTATTCTCTGTGTTTGGAAAAAAACAGTAATTAAAGTTGACGGGCGTTCCTTTTTGTTTTTTTTTTTTTTTTTTTGGCCACACTGTGTGGCTTCCAGGATCTTAGTTCCCCGACTAGGGATTGAACCTGGGCCGTCGGCAATGAAAGCGCGGAAGCCTAACCACTGGATGGCCAGGGAATTCCCGTGGGTGATCCCTTCTTTGACCTGGCTTGTGACAGAGGTAAGAGAACAGGACCAGGAGTCCCTGGGATAAGTGATTTAACTTTTCAGAGTCTAAACTTTCTTTAGAGCAAGTTGTGAAGACTTATCACCCAACTGTATTCTCCAACGACTGCTATCCCAATAGAATGAGAAAAACAGGTACTTACGATGTCTCTTATTGTTAAAATGACAGTAGGAAAACACCACCAATTCTCCCCCTCACCCCTCAAACTTTAAAATAAACCTTTTCCGAGATCATTCTGTATTCCCCCACCCCGGCCACCTAGGCAGACTTCCCACCATCAGACCAAAAGGGCAGCTCCCCTGCCAGGCAATTCCAGTGAACCATCAGCCCCTCTGGTTCAGAGGAAACTGTGGCCTGGTGACATTTCCGGGGGGAGGACTGGGTAACTCACCTCAACATTCAGAGAGCTGGTCTGGGAGCTGAGGTTGGCACTGGTGAGAGCAAGCGGTCCCCCAAACACCTGGGCCAAGTCCTGCATGAAGGCGTGGTCAGGAATCCGGATGCCTACAAGCTATGAGGCAAAGAGAAAGGGGGTCATCAGAAAGGCTGAAGGGGTGGGAGATGGCTCTGGCCTGGATCCTAGCGAAAGCCAAATGGCGGGAGTCTGGGGACACAAGAAAATCTGACTCACAGGAGTAAAGGGGTTCAGGTCCTTGTTGAGCTCCTCTGAGCGTTCCATCACCAGGGTCACTGGTCCTGGCAGCAGGTCGTTCAGGAGCCCCTCAGGTACTCTCACACGGCAGTACCTGGGAAACAGAGGGGACACAAATCGAACCAAATGAAAGGCACTGCTGGTCCTATTCCAGACTCTAGGCAGATCTAGGAAAGGTGACCCGAGGGACTACAATGGGATCCGCCTGTCTTCCCTGTTCACCCCCAAGAGCTTGAGCAGAAAGCAGGGCTCCAAAGGACCGCCCCAGGCTTGGACCCGCAGGCTACAACAGCTGCACCGCTTTCACGCTCCACGTTTTACTTTCAAGGCACTCCCTACTAACTTAAGCTACCGTGCTCCCCCTCTTTTTTCTTAAACCGTGGGCGCCCCCCCCCCGCCCATTATCACAAAAACGCCAGAAGAATAGGGACCCCGCCTGCATCGTTCATCGCTGCGCCCCGATCTCGTTCAAGGCCTGGCAGACGCTAAGCGCTCCATACACGTTTCCAGTTCCGGATTCCCGGGTGAGCCTGGACAAGCCCCTCCCGCTCTCCGCGCCTCAGTCTCCCAAGCCTGTCACCGGAAACCCCTCCCGCGGTGCCGCCCCCAACAGGGCCGGGTCGGGGCGTCCTCACCTGTAGACGTCGGCCACGCGGCCCAGGCACACGGCCAGCGGCTTGGTCTCGCTGCGGCCCTTGACGCGGTACACG